TTCTTGATCTGCTCCTGCTCTGGATGGGGCTTCGGCGCCGCCGGGGGCTGCGGCTCCTGTGCCGGCTTCTGCCGCGCTGTTTCTGGCGGTGGCTTTGCGTCTGGTTCTGACGCACGCACTGGCTGCGGCTGGAGGTTGAGGTGCGACTCTGACTGCGTCGTCGCCGCTGTTTCCTAGCACTGGCAGACACCTCCTCGACGGCTCTGCGCTTCTTGCGTCGGCTGGAGCTGCGGCTGGACTCGCTGCTGCTGGAGCTGGAGCTGCAGCTGCGACTCCTGCTCCTGCGGTGGGTCTTTCGGTGGCGCGAGGTCCTCGAGGCGCCGGGGGGCGCAGGCGAGCCGGCGGGCACCAGCTGAACATCATCATCGTCCGATAGTAGCACAGCGGATGTTGGCGCGGAGGCAATCGTTTTCGGTGGAAGAGCTGCGGTCTGTACTGGTGGCGGGGGCGGCGGTGGTTTGCTGGTGAATGTATTCGTGCTGTCGTCGTTAAGCAGATTGTATTTCTCCAGATCCCCGCCGTCCTCCTCCTCCTCCTCCTCATCGTCATCATTCTGGTTGTCATTCTCCGGCTTCTGCTTCTGCATTTGCTTTTGCTCCTCCTCCTCATCCTCGTCGTCGTCAGGCCCGAAGTAAGTGATGGGTATGGAGCGCACGGACTCATTAGACTCGTTGTCGCTGTCTCCCGCAGCGGCACCTCCGGCATCCTCAGGTGGATTAACCTTTGAGCTAGGTAGAGCAGAGCTAGCCACAGCACCTGCTGAAACACCTGAAACACAGCGATTACATTAGCGACTGTCAGAGTTTTGTCCATGGCACTTACCCTTGATCTGATTGAGAAAGGCCATGGCCTTACGTTTCCTCTCCAGCTGCAGCTGCTTCTCCTTGGAGACCATGCCGTTCAGCTTGTCGCGGGCAATCAGCGCCAGCTTATCCTTGACCCGCTCCTCTGCTGCAAATATTTATATGGGAAACGATTAATGCTTTGTTGTCTCCGCAAATCTCTTGGGGAGACTACACACCCTGACGCAGATCCTTTTGCGGAGATATGGGAGTAGCCTTCTGGCTTCTTGCCAGCAACTGCGTCTCCACCTGCTTAATCGCACGCTGCACACTGTCCGGCATGCCACGCACCTGCTCCGCAGTGGACGTAGCCGCTTTAGCCTTCGTCTCCTCTTCGTCGCTGGCCTCCTGGGTCAGAGCAGCCGGAAGCGGACCGTGCTCGTCGCGGCCGCGTATGGAGAAGCAAACGGGAGCTGTAGATGGATCAGTGTTATGTGGATTCTGTAGATCTTCTCCTTCAATGGACTCACCTTTGTCTGCTGCGTTAACTAGCGCAGCTGCAGCTGCAGTTGCAGCTCCTCCAAAACTGAGTCCCTTCTTGCTCATGAGCGCAGCGGCCACGGCGGCCGCCTTGCGAGTCTTCTCCTCCTTGGAGGCGGCATCCACGTCGTTGGTTACCTTGTACAGGTAGTACGGATAGAACTCGTTATGCGGCAGCAGGAAACCGAACCGCTCGACGCTCTTGGTGCGCAGCGTCTCCTCGAACTGCCGCCCGTTCTTGATTACGTAGGTGGCCGTCTTATCGATGATCGTCCTGAGGCTCTCCTCGGGCACGGGAAAGGTCAGCACCGGCTCAGGTGCTGTCGGCTCCTTCTCAGCCTCCTTCTTCTCTTTCTCCTTCTCAGACGCCTGTGTCGAGGTGTGTGCCTCTTCCGCCGCCTCATCCTCGCTCTGCGAACTATAGTTCTGAGCCAAGGCCAGAGCACTCGTGTTCTTCAGCAGCTCCACTTGCGGCGTCGCATCGTTGGCGTTCTCTTCCTCGGGCACCGGAGAGTCGGCCTCCTCCGTCTCGTGGGTGAAGGTGCTGCCGTTGTAGCGGATGAGGACGGGTGTAAACTCACCCTGCTGGCTGTGGCCCTCCGACCTGCAGCTAGGCGTGGGCGAGGCCGTGCCCCCGGAATGCTGCGAATTGGTGGTGCTCAGCTCGTCGTCGAGCACCGTCTGCAGGGGCACGCCCTTGATCTTGCTGATGAGTTGCGTGTAGGCGCAGTTTGCCGAAGGCTTGTACTTAATGGTGGGCACCATAATGACTACTTGGCCGGACGTGCCCGTACCCGTTCGCTGGCCATGGCTCTCCGGTCCGGATCCGGAGCCTGGTTCTGCCTCTGCGTTGCTGGGGCTCTCCGGCGTGGGGGCGTACTTGGCCTGCTTGATGGCAGCCAGCACGTGACGGTAGTACGGCTGCAGATGGCCGCCCTGCGTGAGGAAGTCGAACTGTGAATTGTTAGCTTGTTTGGCCTTGATTAGGATCTCCATTTGGGTGCCCTGAGTGGCTATGAAGCGGGCCGTCTTCTCGATAATGGCATGCTGCTTCATCGTCTCGGGCTGTGGGCGAAGGATTACAAATGTATTGGATATGTGTTGAGGTGTATTCTGCATGCTGCATACTCACCACCTGCATACCCGGGGGCAGCGGCAGAAGCAGGGTGCGCGGTAGAACAAATGGTTCGTTCTCCTCTGCGGTGCCCGGGGAGAGCGAGAGCGGCCCAGTCGTGGTGGAGGCAGCTCCAGCAGCAGCATACGCCATGCCCTGGCCATCATACTGGAAGCCCACCTGGCTGTAGTTTCCGCCGGAGGTCTCCTGCTGCAGCCGCTTGAGGTCCTCCTCTGCGCGGAAACAAGAGGGAGAGAAGCACACAAGGCAGAGAGAAACTTTAGAGCGGGTTAGAGGAGGGACTAGGACTAGCGTCAAGAGCGCGCGTCTGCAGGCCGCTGACCGAGTCAGAGCGAGCGTGAGATAGCGAGACACAGAGAGATAGTGTGAGAGAACGCGGGTGCGACGACGGGAGAGCATGGTCTAGAGCAGGACAGACACAGTGGCTTGAGTGTGGGAAAAGTAACGCTTGATTTCCCAGGGACTTCGCGGCGCGCTGCAGTGGCGACGACAGCGACGACGGTGATCTGTGGTACCTGCAAGAGAGCTATAATCTGTCAGAGTGCAAGGAATTTGTATTTACCTGCTGGGGCGACGGTGCTCCTGGCTGGAGCAGCAACAGCAACGACGGATGCTCTCTCTTTTCATATTCGGATTCAAAGTCGAATTCGAGTTTGGATTGGTTTTTGTGGCTTAGGTTCTACATGTTTCTATATTCGTTGATATGTTTTTCTGGGGTTTTTCGGTTTCTTGATTGGCTTTTGTATTGATTTACCTTTTTCGCGTACGTATTCTTGATTGAGATCTTGATCGATTTTCTTGATACTACTAGGAATTGGTTTTGTTTTGATTTGTTTGTTTGTTTTTTTTTTGGTAAGACAAGGAGCATTGTTTTTGAGCCGATTGTGGGACTCCAGGCAGGGCCGACTTACCTTGCTGCAGGCGGAGCTCCTCCTCGTTGTTGTACAGAAATAGGTAGCGCTCCTCCTCGCATAGCTGCTCGGCGCGCTGCTCCTCGGTGCTGAGGTATTCCAGGCGGTTGCCGTAGCCCCCAGGTGGCGCTTCGTAGGGTGCCAGATCGCAGAGGGCGCCACGCACATCGTATCTATATATATATATTGCGTATATATATACATATACATGTGTGTGTGTGGGTGTGTGGATGGGTGTGTGTTTTGGGCCAAAAGAGATCAAGCAGAAAGATATAGACAGAGAGAGAGAGAGAGAAAGATAGAGAGAGAACAAGAGACATTATCAGTGAGATCCAGGACGAACGAGACGCGGCGCGGCAGAAAATCGATAATCATGGCAAACAAATCGAACACAATCGAACCTGCCCCATTTTGGAGATCGTTCAGTGTCGATCAAGACATTTGTTTACCATCGATTCACGATTATGTAAATAATATATGTATATGTTTATAAATACAATATAATATAATATAGTAGAGAGGTTAAGAAATCGGTTTATAGCTAGAGATCGTTCATACATACCGCTCCGGTGGCTAAAAAGTTAATCGTTTACATTTAAGATTGGTCAAAGAATTACAGATTCAAAATTTGTTTTTTTTTTTTTGTGTTTGTATGGTAAGAGATACAGTTTGAGAAGCACTGAAAAGAGCTGTTATTACAATGGTGTGTATATGTATGTGTATGAGTGTGTGGGTGTGGGTGTTTGTGGGTGGAGTACAGTACAGTTACTGTCCGCTGTTCCAGTCCGAGTGTAGGGTATGCAGTGGGTCGTCAGCGTGCGCATGTTTGTGCGTGTGTTTGTTTGTGGGCGGATGGATTGTTGTATGGTGGGATGTATGTATGTATTGATAATCGTACAATTAACGCTTAGACAACCCCCAATTATTAACCTGTCTATCTTGAGATTTACATCGCCCATCCAGGGTATCAGCTGCTTGCCGTGGTCCAGTTCGCGGGCCTTCTCGTCATCACGGAATATCTTGCACGCGTAGCCGAAGACGAGCAGTTCCAGGGGCGGCTGGCGTGCGTCCAGTATTGCCGCACCGTTGCCGTTGCTGGCCCCCGCCGACAGACCGCCGGGGGCAACTGCAGCGGCACCAGTCTTGCGCAAAATACCACCGATGCTGCCGCCGCCAGCGGAGCGCACATTGTAGGGCATCATTTGACTGAAGCGCCCACTTCCTCTTCAACTGCAGCAGCAAATCCAGCTCTGACTCTAGCTCTGGCTCTAGCTCCAGGCTCACTCTCACTCTCTCTCTATCCTCTTTCTCTGGCTGCTGTTGCACACTCACACAAACACTGGGTCAAGCACTTGGAATTATGTGATCTGAGGCAGCAGCACGTTGCATTATTTGGCCGATGGACGCGTGTGGTGGCTTGTGGATACTCTTATATATGTATATGTTATTTTGATTGCGAATAAATGCTGCATTTCGCTGAGAAACAGTGTGACCGCGAAATTATAGATTATAGGCCTCGAAAATATACCGAAACATACTTTTGAATTTTCAAAATATACCGTAAAATATATAAAAATATACCGGTCTTCTTCTTGTGCATTTGCCATTCACCCTCAATCATTTAAATATTATTTCATTTAACATCTCAAATATTATTGAAAACAAATGCTACGCAACGTTGTTGTGGGCATGTCGGGGGGCGTGGACAGTGCTGTGAGCGCCCACCTGCTGAAGGAGCGCGGTCACCGCGTGCTGGGCGTCTTCATGCGCAACTGGGACGAGCACGACGAGGCGGGCCGCTGCAGCGGCGAGCAGGATCTGAAGGACGCAGAATGGGCGAGCCAGCGGCTAGGGATCGAGCTGAGGCAGGTGAATTACGTGAAGGAGTACTGGACGGCGGTGTTCAGCGCCTTCCTGGACGACTACCAGCAGGGGCTGACGCCCAATCCGGACATCCTCTGCAACCGACACATCAAGTTCGACCTGTTCCATCGGCATGCGCTGGAGCGACTCGGCTTCGATGCCGTGGCCACCGGCCACTATGCTCGCAACAGTCTGGGCAACTTTCTGGAACATCGGGCGGGCGGCGGGGAGGCACGTCTGCTCATACCGGCTGACACCTTCAAGGATCAGACCTTCTTCTTGGCGGGGATACAGCGGCAGGCCCTACAGCGCACCATGTTTCCCCTGGGCGATCTGGCCAAGAGCCAGGTGAAGCACTTGGCCCGACGAATCGGCCTCCAGCGCCTGGCCCACAAGCGGGAGAGCACCGGCATCTGCTTTGTGGGCAAGCGCGACTTCAAGTCCTTCATCCGCGAGGTAATCACATCCAATGGTTTCCGTCTTTATGTAATTACTCAGGCCATTCGTTCTCCTTTTCAGTACATCGCCTCGAGGAGCGGCCAGTTCGTGGACACAGACACTGGAGCCATTGTGGGCACCCACGAGGGCATCCACCAGTGGACCGTGGGACAGCGATGCCGCCTCGGCTCCTTCCTACAGCCGTACTTCGTGGCCCGCAAGGAAGCCTCCAGCAACACCATATATGTGGCCGCCGGCCACGACCATCCGGCCCTGCTCAGCACCCGCATCCACATCGAGGCCCCCAACTGGCTGTGCGCTCAATCCGAGGAGAGGCTCGCCTCCACTGGCAACCTGCGCTGCCGGTTCCGCTTCCAGCACACAAAGCCGCTGGTCGACTGCTGCATCCGCTCCCGCCCCGATGGCCAATTCGAGGTGCTGCTGGATGCTCCTCTGCGCGCCATCACCCCCGGCCAGTATGCGGTATTCTATGACGAAGTGGCGTGTCTGGGCGCTGGCCGCATCATGAGCGCCGATGCTCTGACCAGCCGCCAAGAGCAGCAAGAGCCAAGATTCCAGACCATCACCAGCTGACAAGAGTCTAAATGGAACCAAAACCCTTGCATGAACACACACGAAAGCCAACGGCGGCGGGCCCACGAATGCTCATAATGGAATTAACCAAAATGGCTTCAGTTGGGACAAGATTGTTGACAATTTTTAAGTGTTTGATTTGTTAACTATTCCGTAAGAAAAGACCAAAGTGTTTCCACGCCAAAACTCACTTGAAGTTGCTATATTCTTCCATTAAAATCAATCAATACGATTACGTTACGAACTGCTACGATTCGTTTATTGAGCATTTTGGAGAGCATTGCAAAACCTCTAATTGTTTAGTTTATTCTAGTTTTTCTGTTAAAATACGTTGTGGTGAGTGTCAGTGACTTTTGTTTAAAGGTTAGACAGGAAGAGGATAAAGAGCTGTAATATCTAGCCCTAATATCTGTACCATTATAATGCGAGTAGAGTGAATTTCAAAATGCGTAACATGCACCCACAAATCAAGATGTTCATGGCACTTCTTGTGGCTTATCATCATCCTTACTGAGTAATTTCTGGACATATTTCCCTCCCTGACAATGACATACTTCACCCATTTTGGGCTGTTACACTACAGATGCACTGCCAATACCTTCCATATTCAAAAGAAAGATCTTGTCCGTCAGGGTAACTCGCTACCCGAAAAAGAGCCCTGCCCTTAGAGATCTGCGTCTCAGGAGATGGATCCTCGCAAAAGATAGAAGACAGTGTATCTTTCACACATTAAACAACTACAAATATATATTCTATCGTCCGACTGACAAAACATTAAAAAAAAAGTGAACTAGCGAGCTATAAACACTAAACTAGATGATGATACATTTGTCGTTTATAAATTATGCTTAGGCTAAGGCTTATCGGATAAGATGATTGAGCAGCAGGGTGCATGGGGGAGTGGGCTTAAAACTAGGTTAGCAGCACGGTGAGGGCGTCGAGGAAGCGGGTGAGGTCGCTCTGACGCAGCTGGACAACCGATGGCTCGAAGAAGTCCTGCAGCAGGGTGGTCTTGCTCTTCTGGGCCGCCTGCTCGAAGGCCTTGCCAAAGAAGTTCTTGGGCGAGTCTTCGCGAACGGGGGCAATGCCCACCAGCAGGCACATGCCCTGTGTGGCGTCGAGCGGACAGGTGGCGATCAGCGGCAGGTCTGGGGCTGCGCGTGCCCTGCTGGTGGCCACATGGCCGCGCAGCATGAACTTGGCTAGCAGGCCCAGGGCGTACGGGTAGGAGAAAAAGGCGTGCTCCTCCTGCAGCACATAATAGAAGAAGGAGCCGGCCGAGTGCACCTGGCGGGCCTCCAGGCTGCTCTGCACCTGCCTGAAGATGGCCGCATGCATCAGCTTGGCATTGTCGATGCCCGCGCCGAGCAGCTGCTTGTCCTTGCGGTTGAGGGCGTCGGAGGCCTCCATGAAACAGTCCTCGGGCGTCTTGTGCTTCTTCACCGACTCCATGATGGCCAGCAGGGCGTAGACGTAGTCGGCGGCCGCATAGCGGCTGCGGTAGCCATAGCTCAGGGTGAAGGTGCCGTAGACGATGTCCGGTATATCGTACTTCTCGGCCAACCGCTCCACCATCGAATAGAACTCTTTTCGCAGTACCAGGTCCATGGCGCTGTATGTCTGTCGAGCATGCACCAGCGGCAGACCCATCTCCAGCAGCAGCTCGTGGAGTCGCTTTTCGCCGCGTAGCGTCCACAGCTTCAGCTGGCAGGAGGCGTAGCGAGAGTACCTGCAAGAGGAGTACGAGGCATTAGGAGTGTTCCCATCCCATCTCCCTTCAGCAGCCCTGGACCTACCTCATGGAGTCGGTAACCGGCCAGTGCCGGTACAGCACCAGATGCAGATCGTTCTCGAAGCTGATCTTGGAGGCGCTCATCGTGTTCTGGTCGTTGGTCTTGTTCGTGAGGCGGGAGACATGCGACTGGATGTGCTCCAGCTCCAGTGTGTAGGCCCCGCTCTCGATCTTGCCCAGCAGCAGCTGCTCGCTGATGCCCACGATGGCCCACCAGAGCAGGTCCATGTTGTCCTTGGACAGCTTCCAGGCGAGCTCGAAAATCATCAGCGCCGAGGAGCGTCCGTAGTAGCTGAACTGAGTGTACTCGAACATGATGCGATCCCGCTCCGACTCCCATTGGCGGCGTGCGCGCTGCCTCAGGATGCGCTGCTCGTGCCGCTCCAGGCGTGTGAGCTTGCGCCGCCGCGGAGCGCGTTGCGCACTTTCCTCCTCTTCGCCGTCCGAGTCGCCAGCACCGCTGTCGTTGTGGGCCTCCTCCTCATCGCCGGACTGGTCCTCGTCCTCGTCCTCGTCGTCCTCCTCCCCGTCAGAGTCGTGGAAAATGGTCTCGAATGCGGGAATGTTCTCCTCCAGTGTGGCATCGCCCAGAATGCACACCTGCCGATCGCTGTAGATGTTGCAGACGTCCAGCGGCCGATGTGCATCGCAGATGAAGAAGGTGACATCCTCCGCGGGCTGCAGCAGTTCCACGATGTCCACGCAGCCGCCGCAGTTGACCAGCAGCACGTACTTGACGTCGCCCTGATGCTCCCCGTAGGCGCGCCGCAGGCCCGTGATGCCCATAATGGGGACCACCGTGTAGAGCATGTGGTCGTACTGGAAGAGGGCCTGAAGGATCTTGCTGGCGCATATGGCGTCAATGTCGTAGTTGACGACTATGAGGATGCGCTTGCCCACCAAGTGCCTGTAGAAGTCATTCTTCAGGTCCTGGATGAACATCTTTTCGCTCCAGCAAACAAACGGCAACCAAAATTATCACGCAACTCGAATGCCAATCGAGGGGAGTAGCTTCGGCTCCTTCTACAGGTTGTCTATGGGTATTGGACGTTGGTCTGTTTGCTGTGGCGGCTTCTAGTTGGCCGTAGCGTGCTGCATTTTGCGCGTTCCTTTCGTTTTGTTTGCAATTTTTGCACAATGTCGCAGTGTGACCCACAACTGGTTCAAAAACGCGGGAAACAGCTGGCCGTTCGAGTGTGACCAGCCATGCATACCGTTGGAATGCCACATATTTCGCCGTTCACATGTCTGCGTACAGATGCCAGTGTACTTCTGCACGCGCACATTTATCTTGTGATTATTTTGAAATATTTACGTCAAAACATGGCCAAGAACAACAAAAAGAAGATGTTTGCCCAGCGCCTAGTGTGCTCCCGCATGAACTTCCTCTACCAGGCGGCCCACCTCATGGCGGAGGACAGCCACAACACCCTCGGCGCGTACTACGGGAAGCTCTGCCGGAATGTGGGCACCAAGGCCATGATGCACATGTAAGTGGCAACCAGACAAATCACCCGAATCCCTTGCCTATTTCAATATGAACTCTGTCTCTTTTTTAATTAGGGCTCCGGCGCTGAAGCGTACTCTGTGCAAGCGCTGCTCCCTGCCCCTCATTCCCGGAGTCAACACGAGCCTGTCGGTGCCACAGGCGAAGGAGCAAACAGCAGCGCCAAAGACGGGCAAGAAGCGCCATCGCCGGCAACGTAGCAAGAAGCAAGCGGGCCAAAAGACCGAAACACAGCCAAAGGCAAGCACCGTGGACGAGCACACGCTGCTGCAGATGGAGTGCGCTCTCTGCCAGGGCCGTCGATGCTTTGTTGTGGACAGCCAGCGAGAGTGCTGGCTCGAGCAGCCGCAGGCCCTGGTCGAGGTGCTCGACATAGAAGCGGACGAAGGGGAGGGCCAACAGACACAGGCACAAGCACAGTGATAAGAGCAGACCACTTATCGCCGGCTTATCGCAGCCCTGCGTGTCTCGATAGCCATCTATCTGCGGGATCGCACGTTAGTCGGTCGCGCGATGTTGAGCTGTAGACACTTGATTGGTCGCCTGTTGCGTAGGCAGGCCAGCACGCAGGCTCACCTGGCCGGTCCTGGCATTGTGGAGATAAACGAGGCTGACGGGCAGCGCCTGAAGTACCCGCAGGTGTGGTTGCGGGACAACTGCCAGTGCACGGAGTGCTTCCATGCGGCGACGCGGGCACGTAAGAGCCACTGGGAGCGCGGACCACTGCATGTGGGCGCCCGGCGAGTGAGCTACGACGAGCAGAGACAGCAGCTTCAGGTCGACTGGCAGGACGAGCACCAGAGCGTGTACCAGCTGCAGTGGCTGCGGGAGCGGGACTTTGGGGATGCAGCCAGGCAGAGGTACTTGGCGGAGGTCTACCGGCCGCCCGTCCAGCTCTGGGGCAAGACGCAGTTCAAGGATGTGAGCCGGGAGTTCGATTACCAACAGGTCCTCGACCGGGACGAGGTGCTGAAGACCTGGCTGGAGGCGCTGGCTGTACAGGGATTCGCTTTGCTCAAGGATGCGCCCGACGACGTCAATGTGGCCCGCCGCTTGGCCGAGAGAATTGGCCACATCAAGCGCACCACCTACGGGTGAGTCCTGATCCCCAGATGAAGCAAAGAAGACAAAATCCACTGACAATATACCTTCCCCGTTTCGATTTAGGGACGTGTTTGAGGTCAAGTCCAAGCCGAATGCGGGCAACTATGCCTACCTGATGGTGCCCCTGCCGCTGCACACGGACATGCCCTACTACGAGTACAAGGCGGGCATCAACATTCTGCACACGCTCGTCCAGTCGGAGTCGGCTGGCGGGGCCAACACGCTCGTGGACGGCTTCAATGTGGCCGCCGAGATGCGGCGCCTCTATCCGCAGGAATTCGAGGTGCTGCGCTCGGTGCCCGTCAACTGGTACGACATTGGGCACGACGGGGACCAGTCCAGACCCTTCCACAGCCTGTGGCGAGCGCCTGTTGTCTGCCTGGATGTGGATGGCCAGGTGGTGCGCATCAATCAGAACACCACGAAGCGGGACAGTCGTTTCACGGTGCCCCTGGAGCAGGCGGTGGCCTGGTACGATGCCTACGACAGGTTCCTCCGTCTGGCCCACGACGAAGTCGTCGAGTTCAAGACGCGGAGCGGCGACGTGTTCGTGTTCAACAACCTGCGCATGCTCCACGGCCGCACCGCCTACGAGGACTCGCCGCAGAACAAGCGGCACCTGGTCGGCGCCTACGTCGACTGGGACATCATATACTCCAAGCTAAGGACCCTACGCTTCCCCCAGGCACACGAATGACCACAAATAAAGAACGCCAAACATTTTGAGACTAGAGCATATTTTTAATTATCATCTTGTGGCCTGGAAAAGAGAAAATAGTTGTATTAGAGATCTACCGTGCGTCAAGCAGGCAGGATTCACCGCAGGTTGAATTTTGAATACTCACCGGGACCACGGAACGTGCCACACATGTGAGTTGCAAAGTTTTTCATTGTGCTGCAGCAACGCCTTAGCGGAAACGTCGGAGTATCAGGGTCATGAGCACCAAAATCCCAAAAAGCCGAAAGGGGCCGGGCAAGCGCGTATCGGCTCGGCTCGGCCTTTTTGAAGAAGCTCAAAAAGTATTCAAACATATTTGACATTTTGGTTTTGCCTTCGTTGATTACGAAATACAAGTTAAATCAAATTTTTATTTTTATACCCGGTACTCGAAGAGTAAATAGGGTATATTGTCCCCCGTCCGCCCACGCAAGAGGGCGAAAACCTCCCAAATCTACAATTTTGATTTTGGGATCCGACTACATCATTATTATGGCCACAATGGAGAAATTCATTTCCAGTGGCTAAACCCACCCCGTTCCGCAGCTTATATTTGTTTTTTGCACATTCTCTCATTCACACTCTGCTTTGCGCAGACCCGTCTCTGCCTCTGCCGCGTCTCTGCCCTGATTCTGCAGTGTGTGGGTCTAGGGAAGGGCGTAGTACTGAGTGCCGGGTATAAAAGTTGTGACGCGTAAGAAGCGTCTCACACGTTTTGGTAATAATTTTAGAACCTACCGCCTCGACTGTGAAATCCGTTGTACTTTTCGAACGTAAATATCGGATGCGAGTGCTGCCCATTAACTAGGGTTAATAATTAATACCCGCATTCGTTTCTCGCTATCGTACAACAGTCAGAAATATTAATGGTACACATTAATCTGTATATATAAGTACCGATGTTATTTTAGCCTATTTGTAGCATTTTTCATATGATATTTCAAAATATTTTATTTATGTGCGCAAGATTTAGATTCGGTATTTTACAGAAAGACGCGTTAGTGCTTTTTCTCGCATTAACGGCGCGGCCATTTTAAAAAAAGCATTGTTGTTGGCCTTCGACTTAAATTTTGGCAAAGCACATACAAGTAAGAATATATCTACTAAATTACAGTTTAATTAACAAAATATTGGTAAAATCGGCACCATAGACGATTACTACAAGGCCTTAACTGCCGGGAACCCAGCTGTTGGTAGGATTGCGTGTATTTTTACGGATTTTTGTGCCGCTGGTGTACTTGCGCCGTCGTGCGTGCAGCTTTTACGGTCACGCTGTCGCCTGTTTTAACAGTGTTCACAGTTAGTTCGCTCGCCATTGTCGCCGCGCCTGGTCCTAGTCTGCAGTGGGATTTCTCGAGTGCGTGCATCAATTTCGTGTAAGCTCATAATTCAAAAATATTGCCAATTTTTTTTCAAGTTCGTGTGGCCTGGCAAGTGCCCTGTGTGCGTGCTTGAGTGCCACGTGTGTGTGTGTTTTTTTTTTTTTTTGGCGCCACCAAGCCCTGTACCAAAGCAGTGCCAAAGGAGGGAAATCTGTGTCTTGCTGCATTATTGCTCCGTTGGGTCCGTTTTTATCACTTTTCTAACCAAAACGCTCTCTGACGCTGTCTGTGCATGTTTCGTCTTGTGTTTTGTCTGGGTGAGCGTGTGTATGGGCTCCAAACAAAAAAAAGAGCTTCGCATCGCTCTATCATTACAGATCGTTTGATTTGCGGACTATTTTGGCGGCGCACTCTTTTAACTGATTCACAAAAAGACGCACCGCAGCGGCGCGCGATCGTGGCACAGCAGTTGGCAGGCCCTCAGCTGAGTAGGTCCGCAGTAGACACATGCATCCATATGTATATGTGTACATACATACATACATATATACACAGTAGTTGTTGCTGCTTCTAACACAACTATGCTGCTAGTTATCCGGATGGGGGACATGAACCGTCGCGGGCGAGGATCGATATTTTCTTGGAAAATTCAGCTACATATATGTGCGTCTTTTTGTGCATCATTTAAAGGAGTGCGCCGGCAAAATAGTCATAGGCAAAATCAACCGATCTGTAATGATAGAGCGAGTTGGCTTCTCTTCCTGATGGCAGACATGGACGCTGGGGAATTTCAGCTTTTGACTTTTTGTGGCATAAATTAATTGTGATCTTGATTCAGGGTTTTGAACTTATGATGATTAACTTGTAGTTCCGCAAATGTTTGCTGCACTTTATTTGTATATTGAGTTATCATAGCGCCGACATTAAATGTGAAATTTATCGGTAAAAGTTTGATCCCTTAAGACATCAAGCCAAAGTGTTTTGTTCTTTTTTATTTCAACTTAAAATCTTACTCTAAAACCACACTTTAACCCTGATAGGGGCTACATTAAATATATGTACAATGTATGTACTTTGGTTGGGCAATTTTTTTTCTTGCATCAAACTCTGCCAAGTTTTGGGCTTTCTTCAACTAACTAAATCTTTAAGGCGCCGTGGAACTGAAGTGGATCTTACGATTCTGCAGGATGTACTCGTTTGTATGTAAATATGTTTATTATCTATTCTACTTCGAAAAGCTTTGAGTAGCCAGAGCCAGAGAGCCATGCCCGCGGCCATGTAGCTCTCATTCCCGCTTGCATATTCAAATATTCAAATTTAATCAAGCTCGAATGTCAGTGGCAATATCTCAAAACGAATTACATACTGTCCAAAAAGAAAGAAAAAACTGCGGAAATGTAAATACGGAAATGTATTGACATGCCGCAGCGAGTGTGACAGAGAGGAGAAGCCATTTTCCCCAGGGGCGCAGAATATGAAATATTGACTGCCATTCCATTTGTTTCGCGTTGGAGCTAATTACTGTGCGGAGAGTTTTATTAAATTAAAAAATGTCTGCTCGGGACCCAGTCCCAAGCTGGTCGAGGGTGCCTCTGTCGCTCGATCCTAACCACTTCGGGCCACATGTCGTGGTGCCCTGATCCGGAGTGGGCAGGAAAGGCAATTAGACATGCCAAAAGCGGGCTACCGCTGGCTGGGACGAGGGCAAGTCTAGAGCCAAAGCAAAGCAGCTAATTAAAAATTACACCAAATACAATCAAGAAAGCGGCCCAAGAAAAAGGCCAGGGCGGAGCAGGCGGCACGAGGCACCAGGCACCAGGCAATCGGGGCAGGGATCAAATCTTGTTGCGTTAATTGCAGGCCAACTCCCGCGACTGACTTTGCGCTGACCCAAGCCGAATTTCCGTGCTTCTGCACATGCCCCTGCCCCTGCGCCTGGCCGTGCCCGTCCAGAGATGTGAGTGAGAACACGACCAGTCACGACAAAAGATTTCAAAGACATTAAAACTCAACAAAAGTTTGGAATAGACCATAGGCCATACAAACTTGCATAAAGCTTGCCTCACAGTCGTGATCGTGATTGGGACACTTGTCACGCTTTCATCCCTAATTGGGGGAAGTTTTAACGAGAGAAAGCGAGCGAGAGAGGCCGGGGCCCCCGTCCATGTCCACGTCGCTGATGGCCTCAGCTGTCAGTCTGTCAAAATTTGTAGCACACTTTTGGGGGTCTCCCACACCCAGCGCTAGTCAGGGGCAGATGGAGACAAAACAAAAAAAAAAGACAGAGAGACATTTGTCAAGGCTTATATAATTTGAAGATTGGAACAATGTCGAGGCAGAAGTTAAGCGAGAAACAGAGATGGGCTCTGCGAGAGCAATGCAGTTGCAGGCGAAAGCAGTTCAAGTAAATGGAGTAGCAAGGAGGGTGGTGGCAGAAGGGGGAAGAGTATGCACACGGCACAGCAAATGTCAGCGGAAGCCCAACAAACCGGAACCGGAAATAGTTGCGCGCTGGCCCAAAAGCAATTACACAAAGAGCGCGGCGCCTAAAAACCAACAAACATTAATCAAGCGCAAACGAAATGGCAGTTAGACGTGCTGCAAAAATATGACAAATGATTGGCCCAGCAAATAGAATGATCGCCAAAGCAAACAGTGGGGGAGAGTTGACAAAATGGTACAAAGTAGCAGCACAATCTGGCTATTAGAAAGTTTTCATTTTCATTTTCGTTTTCGTTTCCCTCGAGGGGCTCCACCTTTAGCTCTCAATTCAGATTCATCCCCTGGGTACACACACACACACACACACACACACAACACTGAAAGCTTAACAAGCTGAAATTGTTTTTCCGCTACCCTAAAAAAACACTCAAACTCCTTCAAGAGAACCTTTTATTTGTTGTAATTTTTTTTCGGCTGCTTTTGCCTTCTTCTTTGTGCCTTTTCTTTTTGGCAGCTTTTGCGTTGACTTTGTGGGCAACCACCAGGAAAGCGAATTACCTTTTAATTCTTGAGGTTTATAGCTGGCAAAGGAGCAATGGGAGGAGCAGCTGTTAAAACACAATTAAGACCATTATAAACGATGGGATGCTGCAAATTCAAGAAGTGTTAGAGTTCGGAGATCGTGTTAGAGTTAGTGCTGCAGCCTGTCAAAACTTTGCAGCATTGGCACACATCCTGCGATTATCCTGATTAAGAACAGATTCGTTATACCTTCCGCCTGCATCCACACGAGTGCGCTGCACTCGAGAAACTCTCACCAGGCAATGATTCATTGCCTTTGGCACTAGATAAGCACCAGCAGCACTCCTGGCCCCGTTTCAGACTCCAATAACGATGCACACACATGATGCGTTGCCATATCAATGAGGATATGGGGCTGCCTCTGTCTTTCCGTTTGCTTTTGCTTGGCTGACAGGGCTCCAGCAAAATGCAATTTAAATCATAAAATATAATTTTCATTTAATGAATTGGATCAACATGCAACTTGTCGCCCCAGATGCGTGTGCATGTTTCATTCTCCTTCCCCTCTGTCTTTCACTGTGTGTGCAAAGACATGCACACACACACAAACACACACACACACACACACACACACAGAGCAGACATGTCGAAATATTTTACTTGAATGACTTTCCAAGGCAGCAGAGTGGAAGAATTTCCAGTTGCGAAAAATCTTTCGGTGAGAATAGCAAAAAAGTTTCCCCATTGCAGTGGATAACTTTTAAGAGCCGCCAAAGAGCCGACACAGAGGCCATGCCAGGCCAGGCCAGTCCTCCTGCCCCAACTCTGCTGCTATCAACTTGATTGAGTCTCGAAGCATTCCCCGCAATGAAGTCTGCAACTTAACATATTTCCTGGGCGGAGAGAGATTGAATGGGGGCGAGAGGCAAGCTCTAATCCTGGCCTGGCCGCATTGCCATTGCCTTTGGGTTATGCAATAAGCTGTTGGCCATTTCCTGTCCCGGTCCAGGTAAGCTTCTGCTGCTTCCGAGCAAAAAAAAAGAAGAAAAAGACTGCAGCCTGCACTACAATGACAGCAGGGTGCTGGCGATGGCGATGGCGATGGGGGACATCGCTTGACGTTGGCCTCGCCTGTCCGTATTCATGTCTCATGCCCATGCCACCACCCCCACAAGGTCTCCAGCATGTTTCATGTTGTCCTTTTGGGGGCTGCTGCATTGTTGGCGAAAACTGGCAACAATAACCGACGACGACAAAGAAAATGCAGAGCGAAAAAGCAACAGCATCAGCAATAGCAACAGTAGCAGTAGGACACGGGACATGGAAAGGGACAGGAAAGTACAGGCAGCAACCGGTGAAAGGAAAGAACATTCATGGCATATTTTCGGCAAAGTGTAATCCGAGTGGTTACCCCCAAAAGCCCCAACTGGGATGTGCACAGTAAAAAAAGGAGCAAGGCCAATATCAATAATTAACGTTACAACATTAACCATGAATTATCCATGTTTGACTGCCCCCCTGATCTTCTGGGACCGATCGGGAGTCTATGTGGCACGTGATCTGATGACTTTGCCAAAGTGCCTCAATACCTAAACACATTTAAAACTCGCCTCTGCATGGCGTTTAGCAATTATCCATAAATTTCTGAACTTTGGGAAATTGTCACATTACCCATTAATCGAGGGATAATCGTTTATCCCAAGTGATATCGATAACGGGCGCCCTCACATGGGAATTTGCATATTTGCCACATTTTCCACAGCCATAACACTCACCATGTGTGGCCATAAAAAGCCACAGGTCGTGATTTTCCAGCGTAGGAGCGAACCCATCAATCGAAAATCGAACAATGTTTGCACATTAAAAATCTCATCTTCGTCTTGCTGTTAATTTTTGAGGCCTGCCCCCGATTTGTGCCACCTTTTTGTGGGTTGCGGTTGTAGAGGTTCAACACTCATCGCTCAGTCAAACACCCAGTCAGTCAGTCAGTCAGTCAGTCAGTCAGTCAGTCAGTCTGTCACTTAGCCACTCACTCACTCTGTTAGTCAGGCAGTCAGTTGTTCAGTCAGTCGGGGAGACTCACTCAAGCCAAAAGTCGGAAGTCAAAAGTCAGAAGCTGTCAGCCATCTTTTTGTGGAAGAGGTGGAGAAATGGGAAATGGAAATTTCTTGTATATCATTTATCAGGGGAGCACAAGAACAAAAAGACAACGAAAACTGACTGCACTTGGGGATTTGGAGGAGATTTGCATGCATAAGGAATGTCAGCACAGGAATGGCCATTTGACATCTCAGGGACCATCTGAAGGCGAGATGCCAGCACAAAAAATCAAAAAAGGAAACGATTTCAACCGAGCTTAGAGAGTGCATTGTGAGGCAGCATTTCGCTGAATTAGAAAAAGTGGTTCAGGATTCGGTCTGGTTTGGAGCAGAGCTTCTTCTTTCGCTTAAGTTTAGTTTATGCTTTGGAATATGGGGCATATGGGGCAGGGGGGGGCAGCCCCCCTCCCCACACACTATATGTACATAAATTCAACAATATGTGCGAGTATTTCCATCCCCTGAATCTCGAGTACCATTTCCACCAAACGACTTTCTTTGTGTTCAAACACATCATAAATATGTTGATATTAAAATAAGCCCCAAGCACACACACACAGGCACACTGGCACACTGGCACACAGTGGGATACTCGAAAGACCCACAAAAACCCAAAAAGAAGACGCAACAAATCCACTTGCCAGAAATGTGTGTTCCAAAGAGCGTCCGTGTGTGCGGGAAGGCAGAGGGCGCGGGCCCAAATCCTTTGAATATGTAACGAAACAGGGGTTAAGGGTGGGCCAAAGAATACGCAGAGAGAGCAAGAGAGGGGGAGAGGGAAGAGGGAAGAGGGCAGAGCAGAGGGATAGATAATAAAACGCATGTAAATGTTTGGTTCGCGATGAATACGTAAAATAGATGAAGCGAAAACAGGGAATGTAAACTTGAAGGAGTCGCCCATGAGCGAGTGCCCCACTACAAAGCCGAGGGTGTATCTATTGTTGGCTCCTCACCTCATATGAAATACACCTTGCTTTGGTTAGGCGCAGAATAAAAGGCTTAAGCGGAGCGCTTTGTCCCATTCCATGGCTTCAAAGCATCGAGAAACTGTCACTGAAAAGCAGCAGCAGCAGCAGCCGAAGAATCAGAGAACAAGCAACAGTAAAGAAAAGAACAGAACAGAAAAACTAAAAGCAACGGAACAACAGCGGGAGCAACCGTAAAAGCAGCAGCAGCAGCAGCAGCACTTGTAAAGGGAACCTCTCTCCCTCCCCCGCAGCAGCAGGGCATGGCAGCACACCCTCTGTGTGAATGTACCCTGCAAAATAACATGCCAAAGAAAAACAACTAAATTGCAGAGCACCCGCGTGTGTGCATTTGCATTTGCATATGTGAGCAAGGATGGGGCCGGGTAAAGGGATGGTCTCCTGCATTACCCTCGGACATGGCATGCCTCCATCACCCATCATTGCTTGACTTTATGCTTCAATCGGGGGTATCGAATGCTTCGTTAGAGCTTCGCTCATTGCCTAATTTGTGTGTCCTTTGCTTTAAGTTTCGTTTGCGTGGGCGAAAGTGGTCTTACTGGGAGAACGTCTCTCACATTTCGTTGCTTCATTTCTCATCTGTGGATAATGGCCACGCCATTTAGTTGCACATTTTGTGTGCCTCTGCTTTTCCGGCATGTTTTAACTATGTTTCTTTTAATTTTCATTCTTTATTTAAATTTGTTTGCTTTTATGTTGTTTTATTTCCATTTAGAGCTTGCACATTCCAGCAGCACCCATTCGGCACATTTCGCACATTTCGCACATTCCCAACACTCACACGTTGCCCATAAAAATGGATAGACCTTCAAATGAATCCAAGAGCACCAAACCGACAAAGAAAGCCAAATGGTTCGACGGCCTGGGTCCTGTGGGTATGGACATCCAGCCGCCGGTCACCCAGCCGCCGGCCATCCAGCCGCCGGCCATCCAGCCGCCGGCCATCCAGCCGCCGGCCATCCAGCCGCCGGCCATCCAGCCGCCGGTCACCCAGCCGCCGGCCATCCAGCCGCCGGTCACCCAGCCGCCGGCCATCCAGCTGCCGGCCATCCAGCTGCCGGCCATCCAGCAGCCGGCCACCCAGGGACCGCCGAAGGGACCGGATATGACCTTCAAGTATCCCATACCACTGCCCGAGCCGAAGAAACCTCTCCCCAAGGCGATGACCGAGGATGAAATGGATGAAGCGATGGCAGATTATGAATTTCCGCCAGAGGAGACCCCCCTGCAGAAGGCCCTACGGGAAGATGAGGAGCAGAATGCGAAGAAGAAGCAAGGGAATAACATACCAATGAAGTCCACGTCGACTAAAACAATGTTCAGCAATCCGCAGAAGGAGACGCCCAGCTATCGTATTCAGCAAATTGCACGCGTGGGCGTAAAAAAGGATCTCGTGAGTTCCGATCTGGCCAGCCTTCGGCTCATCCACCAATAATACAATCTGCATCCCTCCGTCTGCAACCTTCAAGCTGCATCCTTCAATCTCGCATCCTCCAGTCCTCCTTTATATTTTTTAATTATAACTATTTTCTTTTCTTTTATTTTCATTATAATTGTTGTGTGTCTTTTATATTTCTTTTTATGTTTACGCTCAAAGTGTTCTGCGGCTTTATCTGCCATTGTGGATCTCCTCTGACCTGCTCCAGCGTTCAGCATTCCAGTCACTCGTAAATTAGTCAACGACACCAAACAGAACACAACGAGATTTTTCTCCGTATTTTTAGTTTATTTTTTTTTGTTTTCATTTTTGTTTTTAATGTTTTTTTTTTTAGTTCTTAAAAATGATCTCTGTGCTTTCACGTGATTCTCATTTGCCGAAAGAATAGTATTTACTTCCGCTCCAGAAGAAGACTGGTACCCGTAACCGTATGTGACATTTCCTTCGTTGAATCTCGAGGTGCTACAAGCCACCACATAGTGTGCCATTAAGGGTGCCTCTGTCGTAGATGCAGCCCCGACCTAACAAATGTTTGTTCTAAGAAAGTTGTTGTATATTAAAGAATAAATGCAAGTGAAGAAGAGCCTTTTAGTTTGAAGCAAATAGCTCTATGGTCAGTGGGGCAGAGAAGTAATTATTTGGGAGGGCTGTGGGCTCTACCTCTAATTCGGTGCAGTTTGCCATTTGCCATTGTGCTGCCCTTTTGGGGATCATTTACCAGCCACAAAGGCCCAACTTTCTGATTGCACTCGGACAGCGGCCAAGTGGCCAATCTTGTGGCCAGAAACGTTCGCTTTTGACTTATTGTTTGCGCATGCCAAGCCAAGTTCAATTGGGTTTTTCATTTTCTTTTTGAACACAGAAGTTTGGTCCCAAGTTTTGGGCCATGGGATTTTTGGGCGAATTTCCGACTGCAAGTCAAGTGCAAGTTTTATTGAGATGGGTCGACTGACGGCACAGCAGCAGGGGGATGGTGTTGTGGCCCGGTCACAGAAGGAGTTTCGAGTCCGGGCCATGCAGATCGTATGGAAAAATGTCCCAAAACACAGACAAGTGCAAGACAGAGAAAGGGTATTTCGCTTTTGGCAAGATGTTTGGCCATGAAACGTTTTATGATATATTTCCAGCAACAGCCTGGGAACCAGCAACCAGCACAATTGGGAGCATAATCCATGTCTTTATTTGTGTGTCATGTATCCGTTTTGGGGCGTACAAGCAATTGGGTGAGGGTATCCAAGCCATCGACTCTTGTGGCTGACATTTCCCGGCTTGTTAGTTTTGCTGCTGTGCGAATGTGACTAACGAACTAAACAAAGGCAGAAGCAAGCATGCACACACAAAGACACTAGCGAACACTAGCACACACACGCACACACATATGTACATACATATACTGGCGGAGAGCAGTGCGACTGCTATTTGCCCTGAAAAGTATGCTACGCTTTGCACTCTGCCTGCGTGACTGCCCGTGGGAGTACGGGCAGAAAGCAGAGACATGGGTGTGTGTGCGTGTGTTTGTGTGTCTGTGTGTGTGTGTGGGAGTAGAAGATATAGGACTAGATAGTGGGCAGTAAGTGGCAGTGGGTTTTGGGTGGTGGGTGCAGCGGGGATATGCCAGAGAGTGGACCACTTCATTATCATGCATATTCTTTCATGGCACTTTCGTTGGCCTTTTCGACCATGCAGCATACAGCATATAGCATGCGGTATTTGGCATATAAATTATTTAAGGAGCTGGCACAGAGCAAAGCGAAGCGCGGCCGAGAGCCACTGATAGGGAAGCGATTAAATATGAGCGTTGCATTTGAATGCCCACCATAAGAGTGCCTGTAATGATGTTTTGAACCAGAGATAAGCTGCTCTATCAAATATTATCTATCTATCAAATCTATCAAAATTACTAACCAAATGTGTGCAACAAAATATTTCTAACCAGTAAAACGATATCGGGAGTGAATCAAAAACGCAGAGGAGCAAAGAAGACGAGGGAGGATTCCCCAATGCGAAAACTAACCGCAGTTGGACTTTCTTTCACTCTCCCAACTCCAGTTTCGCTCCATGTCAAGTCCACCAAGCACTACTTTGGACATCGATGTATTTGCTTTCAATTCTGGTTTTACCTTCCTTTCGTTTGACGTTGTTACATTTTTTTTTCTTTCTTTTTATTGCCAAACCAAATATTTACGTGCTCCGTGCGCGTGGCACGGGGGTGGCACAGAGTCCAAGAGCATATACATAAGTTTACCCACTCTTCTGACTGCGGAGTACCTCGCACTCCTCGTTTTTGTTTCACTTCGTTTTGTGTTGTTTCGTTTTGTTTGATTTATGCGTAAACTTTGTACTGGATTCCTCTCTGTTTTGGATACCCTCGCCAAAAGGGTATGACCGAACAAATGGATCTTCATCTTGCATTTTGCCATTTATCCTCCGAACTCTATTCGAAATTCGATGAAGGTTTTATCTGCTATCCGATGGTTCGTTTCAAAGCAAATTTGTTGCATGTTTGCCACGCTTTCGATTGTTCCAATTGGCTTTCAAAGAGCATCCAATGATGCGTTCGCGCCATCTTTCCTGTTCGTCTTTTATGAGAATTCTGTTTTATGTTTTTTGTATATTTTGCCAATATTCACTGCCACCGACTGAAGGCTTGGCCCTCTCCATTTCCTCTCTCTCTCTCTCTCTCTCTGTTCTTCTTTCTGCTGTGGCATGCAAATATACAAATATAACGCATACGCAGCGCTCCACAAGCGGCGAAATGTTATTTAAGTTTTGTTTTTTTTCTGCTTTATCGTCTGTCGCTTTTTCCCTAAATTGATTGCATTGCTGGGCAAGGGGCTGGACGGGCACTGCCAACGGGAATGGGAGTGTTGTAATCCATTTACAACTGCGGTTATCCTCCAGCCGCAAGCGGCAAACCCCTTTAGGGAGGAGTGGGGAGGTGGCCCAGAGAAATTCAAATTAAACAATAAAATGTGCGCCAAAAACATTTTGCGGTTTCGGTTTACGCTTTTGCGAGCTGTTGGTCGAAAGCTTAAATGTTTGCCACTGCGGCGGTTCCGACTCCCGTCAGGGGGTGCTAACTAAGGGTGGCTTAGTGGCAGGCAGGCAGGCAGGCAGGCAGGCAGACACTGGTGGTGGGGCGGATGATGATGGGTGATGATCCCCACACACACAGCTGCGGTTAGCCAACTTCTTTCTGGCTTACTTATTAACTTTGCTTGAGCTTTATCTTTCCCTCTGTGCTTTCCACTTCCACTTCCACTTCCGCGGCCTGCTCGGTGCCCTGTTCAAATCTATTAAAAACTTTGCACATTAACTTTATTTCATTTATCAAATGTTGATTACTCCACAGCGAGGTCTGAGGTCTGTCCATTCCGTCTGCTCTGTGTCCCTCTCTGTGGAGATGATGGAACATCTGTCTGCTGTGGGCTGATGGCCTGACGGCAAGGAGACACAAAACTAACAAAAAGTAGAGGAGAACAACGCATTTGTCGCCTGGCTGGCTGCATGGCGGGTAGCAGGAGGAGGTCGTGCTACTCCTCTGATGAGGGATGGAGCAGGTTGAAAGTTGTATCTTCATTTAGTTCATGTCAGAAAGTTTCGCCCGCAACTCCAGCGTCAGAGTACGAGGGATTAAACTAGAACGTGAACGACAACTCTGGTTGAGGGAGCAGATGAGAGTTGAACACTGGGAAAAATTGCTAACAGGAAGTACCACCATAATGAGCATAAGAGATTGAGGCAGGAGTAAATGAAGAACTTGCCAAAGCTATGAAGTAAATAAGTAAATGCATCAACGAGTAGTGAGTGAGTGGGATGAATGCCAGAGTGAATGCAATGAATAATGCACTGCCATAGATACTCGTAAGATCGCAGCCAAGCAGCTTCGCTTCCTGTGCATCCATCTCATGCTTCCCCTTCAATTGTTATCCCACATCCTGCCTCATTTCACTCCACTCCATCCTGCTGCTGCTGCTGCTCCTGTCATTGGCTTAATGGAGCAGTTAACGTTAAATGCTGATTAAATGTGCGTGCGGGGAGCTGCAGCGGGATCAGCTTTTGCTGCAATGAAATTTAAATATGAAATTGCTTGGGCGCACACCTCCACACATGTGCTGTCTGCGTCCTGCGTGTCCTTCCTGCCGTTCTGCTGCACATGTCCCTGGCTGAGGAGTAATGTCCTGAATGCCTGCCTGCACCCCTATCGCCTTCGGGCTGCGTCCTTCTTCACGCCTTGCCACTTCCTTTTCGTGCATTTAAATTGCGGTCTGCAGCGCCGCATGTGGAGGCCATCTCGCCACGCCCCGCATGTGTGGGCGTGTATGGCATGTGGCCTGCCTGAACCCCCTCCCTCCCTCCCAATCCCCCTCACATCCTCCATGCCGGCCGCATCCTTCCGCTTGGCCAACACCATCTGCTCGCTCCATGTGAAGTGTCAGAGATGAAAGATCGAAGCCTGGCCACCCTTTGCACGTTGCTGGCTCTGCTCTGGCAAATGGCAGTAAGCCCCTGCTCGGAGTCGTACAGCCCATTGGGCAGGGTATACGCTTTAAAATGTTGCCACACACACACACACGCACACACACACAGAGAGCCAATCGAAATGCAATTTTAATTCCACGGCCAGCGAGAGTTCTGTCCTGTCCCGGGCAATAATCGGATTAAACTCAATATTTCCATGCATTTTCGCAGCTTCAATATTTTTGAATTTTTCTTCAAAAAAAGGCATAAAATATTTACGGAAATAACATAATTATTTTATGAAAATGCGCCGAAAGATGTGGAGGGAGAGGGAGAGGGACGTATGAGAGACAAATGCTTTTTACGATCTTTTTTGAGGGGTAACAGCTAGAGGTGGAGGTCTCTGGTTCAGGTGATATAAAAGCTTGAAATTATGGTTTTTTTATTTACCCTCAACTGCATCGACTCATCCTGCCTCCTTCTTAGGCTTGTGCCGGCACATTTAATCGCTATCCGAATGGGATCTCGTGCCGCAGGGCATTCTCCATTTGCTCAACAGTTTGGCCTGTTTGCTGATCGGGAAATACATCTGTACGTTGACAAGCCAAGATCCAACTACTTACCAAAGCGTGGACAGGCCAAAGCGCTTCTTCTTCGGCCGTTTTTCTGCCGTTTCTTCCATCACATTCTCCTCCGCTTTGTCTTCGTCTTGCTCCTCCAGCTTCAGCACTTCGAACTCCGCCACCTTCTCGACTTCGCTGTCATCTCCCATGGCCAGTGTCTCCCTCGTCTGCTGCTGCAAGTACAGTCCTCTGGTTTTGGGGCTGGAAGATGCCTGCTGGGAGATTCGTTCCTCGTACTCTCGAATCATTTTGCTGACTCGTTGCGACGTCGGCACGCGCGCACGTGACGTCATTCCGAAACTTTAACTAAAAAAATGATTGCTAAAAAAACTAACAAATTTTCGTAATCTGACAATTGAAGCCGAGTGAAGCCAAAACAGTATTGAAACTGAGGGACAACTAGATTTGATCTTGTGGCAAAAGTTGACTGCAGTAGAGGGAATATATTTTTAGTTCAAGCCAAGGCCGCACGAGCGCCACATGTGGATCGTGGGAGCGCTGTAAACGCTCTAACAGTGCACTGTACACGATAGCGGTAACAGGCTGTTAGTTAACATGGGCTGTTAACAGCGCTGCAGCTCTGTTACAGCTGCCCTGAATATAACTCGTAATTCAAATTCGTTCTTTGAGTTTTCTGCACAATAACAAGAGCAGCTCCTTTCTATTTTCATATTTAAACTTTCTCTTGTGTCCAAACTCGTTCCAAAGGGTGCTTTGTGCCCGCTGTTCATCCTTCAATTGGCATTAATTGGCTCAATTAGCCCCGTTTTGCTTTGCTCTGCTCTGATGGCATGAATATGTGCCAATCAAATGGATTATTAGACTGATTATCCATGCAACCTGCAATATGCAACCTGCACCGTGTGTTGTGTGTGTCCTGAGTGTCCACTTGTCCCGGACTGGTCACTGTTCGCTGGTCACTGGTCACGGGTCATGTTGGGGTCTTGTCGTTATGTTGTAGAACAGCGGAACGTGCCCGATATGCAAATGGCATTCAATTTGAAATCGCTTAATTAACATATCTCGGGGCCCCGCCACTCTGTATTTTCAGCACGCGGCGCTCAATGCGCTCTTCCAATTTGCATAATCGTTGAGCCGCCCCCAGAAAGATAGCGACACCGGACGGACCGATATCGTCGTATCATCTGCACAGAGAGCAGCAGCAGCAGCGGAAGCAGCGGAAGCGGACTCCCAGTGAGGCTTAGGGGGGATTTGAGGCTGGGATTCTTTGAAGTGGAGCCGCAGCAGCGAGCGGAAGGCCGCCACATTGGAAGGAAAACGACTTTTCACGGCAGTTAATAAATTTTTAACTGGTTCAACAATCGCCCGCGAACTCCGCCAGCTAATGGTGAGTACAGGGGCCAGAGGCAGAGACCAGACCTTCCTTCTACATTGCTCCTCTGCTCGCCTTTGCGTCTTTTTGTAGACGAGAAACGCGGCCGTCAGTGGCGACGAACCCGACGAGGAGCAGACTTCCGCAGGTGGCGCCCCCGACCAGCCTCTGGATGGGGCTCTGGCCGGGGCGCAGGCGGAGCAGCAGGAAGAGGATTCTGTGCCACAGGCTGGGGCTGTGGATGGGGCTATGGATGGGGATGGCGCTACGCCACAGCGACGTCAGAGGCCGCGCAGGAAAGAACCACAACGAAGTGCTGCCATTGGCCCCTCCGATGGGGACACGGACTCCAGCTCCTGCGACGGTGTGGGCTCTGGTTCGAGGAGGCAGCGTGTCAGTTACGCGCAACGGAATCTCCTCGAACAGGAGGAGGAGCAGAAGGACGCAGAGGATGGCGAGGAGTACGACTACGATGAGGATGAGGAGGAGGAGGAGGAGGAGGAAGAGGAGGACTACGACGACTACGAGCAGTCATCTCGGCCACGCCAGATGGCTCGCCCCCGCCCGGTGCTGACCATGGGCGGGGGCACACGGAGCAAGCGCAAAACGAAAGTCCGCCAGTTCTCGCAGCGTTCCAGCTCCTATGCCCCGGACTCGGGGCACACCGACCCGGACGACCGAGACGGCGACAACGCAGGCGACGGCGAGGGCCAGGACAAGCGTCGCTGCATCTCCAAAGGACAAATGCGAGGTGAGTGAAGGTGTGCGACAGGCGACGCACCTGCTGGGGCTACTAATTGCTTTGCGCTTGCAGAGTTTCGCGAGGCCTTTCGCCTCTTCGACAAGGACGGCGATGGCTGCATCACCAAGGAGGAGCTTGGCACCGTGATGCGCTCCCTGGGACAGTTTGCTCGCGTCGAGGAGCTGCAGGAGATGCTCCAGGAGATCGATGTGGATGGTAAGTTTGTCTGCCATTCGCAATGCCCAGCCCCCAGCCCACAGGCCCCCATTCCCCTTGACTGCTCCCTCTGCAGGCGATGGCAATGTGAGCTTCGAGGAGTTTGTCGACATCCTGTCGAACATGACGTACGAGGACAAGTCGGGCCTGTCGTCGGCCGACCAGGAGGAGCGAGAGCTGCGCGATGCCTTCCGCGTCTTTGACAAGCACAATCGCGGCTACATCACCGCCTCCGATCTGCGAGCGGTGCTGCAGTGTCTCGGCGAGGATCTCGACGAGGAGGACAGTAAGTAGTGGATCCCTTTTCTGCCCCCCCCCATCCAACTTCCATGCCAATATTTGCACCTTCCGAACAGTTGAGGACATGATCAAGGAGGTGGACGTGGATGGCGATGGGCGCATCGATTTCTACGAGTTCGTTCATGCCCTGGGCGAGCCGGAGGACTCACAGGAGAATGACGATGAGGAGGAGAACACCACATCGCCGCTTCCCACGCCCAAGTCGGCCATTTCGCTCAGCTACGATTGAGCTGGGGCTGAGGGCTGTGGGCAGCGGCCAGTGCCACGATTGAGTACGATTGAGGAGTGAGGATGGAGCATTGAGCATTGAGTGGCAGTGTGGGCAAGGGGGAAATGAACTTGAGACGCTCATCCATTATTTATGCTACGTCCCATCGATAGACAGTCTGCACTGGTAGCTATAAATAATTGATGGGCAGCAAGCGATTGACTGCTCGATGACTCGTCTGCGGTTCATGCAGCGTTGGTCGATTGCTCATATGTTGTTGGTCTTTCGATCGACATTTAAATACTCAAAACGATCTTACCAATTGACTCGTCGCTTCAATAATTAGTTACTCAACGAGGCGAATGTGCAGCGGTGACAAATCGATTGAACTCCCAGCAAGTCTCACTCATTCAGTCACTGGAACTCGCATTCAAGTTGCAATTGCCAGAACGCACAGCTAATCAAATTACGAATCAAAATGATAATTATACGTATAGCCTATGGAATAATCGAATACATCGATATTTATCAAGTGGAATCAAAGCTCCCACACACACTCCCGCACTCTCTGTGAAATTCCTACCAATCAATAATAATCCCTACCAATAATCGATCTACTTTATAACGATAATCACACACTGACAGACAGATAGATGGACAGACGGACAGACAGACGGACAGACGGACAGGCATATCCTTAAGTATCTATCCTTAATCAATGATAATGTAAATGTACTAAATGTACTATGTATCTTTCGAAACATATCATTGAAGTATCGCTCCTCGGTAAGCGTTCCCCAACATCCCGATAGGCCCTTACCACCCTCACATATTCTCCCCTTTGTCCCCACTCTCTTTGACAATTTTTCGACTAGCATCGTATATCGAATAAAATTGATTTAATTAGGAAATATTTGCTCAATTAATGCTACTGCTGCAAACAAATATAAAAATCGAATCGAATCGAACAAGAACAAATCTTTAATTATTGAACGAACAATTTAATGTAATTTACGATTTACAATTTTAATCCACTCGAAACGAAAATCCCTTAACAAAAATAAGAAAGAAAAAATCAAAATAAAAAAACGAATCAAAATCAAATCATAAATAAAAGAAATATTTCAAAAAATTACACACCAAATGAATGCATTTTTTTCCACGGGGTTTGTCCTAGGCCCTTTGGAACGGGCAGAACCTTTATCGTTTTATTATAATTTTCTGGGCCAATCTGTCCCTCCTTTCTTGGCCACAATTGGCTGTAATTTTAAACATAAATTACCATATTACCGATGCTTACACACTCTGTTGGTTGGCCCCACTCCCGAGCAGCTCCAAATATTGAATGTGGCTGGACAGTGGACAGTGGACAGTGGACGGTGGACAGTGGACACAGGGGAATGCCACAGCATGAGCTTCGAGGATGCGGTCAAGCTGTGGGTACCCAAAAGCCAACCTCCCACAACTGGCAACGATAACAACAGGAGCCAACCGACATTCCCAACTCTCTCTGCCTTCCCCCGTGTCTGTTTGTGTGCGTGTGTGGGCGGGGTAGCTGCGTGGACAAAAGTCATGTTAATGGTCAGCGCTCAAGTGCTTTGCCAGCAGAATTATGATGCTGTTGAAGCTAAAGGGACGCACAGGACACACCACACACACAAACACACACATACGGAATGTCACAACCCAATGAGGAGCTCCCATTTGCGGTGCGTATACTTAATGTTATTTTTTTCTGTTTTGCTTTTGGTTTGCGCGTGGCCATCGAACGTATTGGGGTATGCTCGTTGTTGTGCAACAGGAATGTGAAGCAAGGAAGCATGAAGGAACGTCAGTGGAGTCAGTGGAGGCTGCCTAGATCCACATGTCATTCAAATTCTACAAATTCTCTGCACCCAAACCCATCACATAGTGTCCATCATTGCGCCATGTCATCGCCTGACAGGTATCTTGTGGGTCGGTATTCCCCCGCTACGTAATGTTTTTGTTGCCCCCGAATGATGAGTGGACCATCCCCCGCTTGTCATTAGGTTGAAGAGCCAACAAATTGAAATACACATAATTGTAGTCAGGCTCAATGACATGCCCTCAGTTCCGGCCCTGCTCAGCCACAGCCTCCACTGCCTGCCACAGCCTCCATCTGCTTCCACCTGCCCGGCAATTGAAAACGACTAAATCGATGTTTCAAGTGGCTGTCAGTCCCCATCCAGGTTGGCCAGGTTGGCCAGCTTGCCCCGGAATTGTCGCACAATCGAGCTGCCAGAATGACTGACTGCCTGCCTGTCAGTCTCTCCGACCGGAGGGAGGCCTGTTGTCTCTTTGTCTCTGTCCGTCTCTTTGTTTGTCTCTGGTTTGCAATTATAAACGATTAGGCAGTGGTTGTTGTTGTTGTTGCTGTTGCTGTTGTTGCCGTTGACTGATTAACATTGGACTTCCCATGCCACCATTTGTCCCCCTAATCGGTTTCGGATTGATGGAGTGAAACCATTTTTCACTTGCACTTCCCCTCCGGGTAATGGAAAACATTGGCCATGTTCTGTTTTCATTTTCATTTAACTTTTCCAATTTCAATTCATTGCACAGGACAGGAACGGCACGGGGAAAGTCAGGAGGAGAGGACAATAAAAGAGGAAAATTCGAAATATGAATGGGCAGTGAGAGGTATCCCACAGTCGCATGCACAGAGCCGAGCCAAGCCCACTTGGGCCCACTTTGGTTTATGGCACCCCCCGGGACCACCTCAGTGGAATTCGCTCTTCATAAGCGGCCTGCTGCCTCCTCTGCACCTTGTCAATGCTATGCACGCGGTCATGGGTCATTATTCACAATTAATTTGAATGGTAGATTGATATGCGAAATGGATGGATGGCTCTTTTGTTCCGTGTTCTCTGCTGTTGCTCTCTATTTAAATTTAATGAATTCTCTCTCTAAAGTTTGTGTTGCCACAATAAAAGCGGGCCGAAAGTGCGGGAAGTGCAAAATAATCAATGGGATTTCCCATTGAGATCGGAAGTGGTGCTAGTTCTGGTGTTGCCACTTGCCTCGTGACGCCACTTGCTTCTCGTTGTCTTTGTGCATTCGCTTCTGCAGGATGTTCTCCAGATGGGCGCTGAACTCGGCGCGAGTGATGCCGCCGCTCAGGTACTCGTTCGTCAGCCATTTGTTGCGATGGCCGGTCATCGTCGAGCTGCTTCCCTGCACCCGCACCTCCGCCAGTTCCTGCTGCTGCTGCTCGTTGATCCACTGCAACTCTGCCGCGTTGGACGCATCCACGTAGGTCACATATTCGGGCGCATTGCCGCCTGTGCCCATGCTGAGTTCCGCGCTGCCGCTGCCGCTGCCGCTGCCGCTGCCGCCGCGTAGATAATTGTAGCCGGGAAGCCAGCGACGCAGCAGCCGATCGACACGTCGAATTATGCGATAGAAAATGCCACTGGAGGCGTTGCTGTTGCCATTGCCATTGCTGTTGTTGTTGCTGTGGCCACTTGTCTGATTGTCGTCCCCAAAGATAACATTGCAAATGGTGAGTCTACCCTCAGAGCCTTCGTTCCGAACGTTTGAGTTGCCGCCTCCACTGCTGCTGCTGTCTGTGCCTGTGCTCTCCTGTTGCAAGATTGCGCTGCCACTGCCACTGCCACTGCCACTGGAGTTATCGTTGACGATCACTTGTTTCAGCTCATCAACGATGCCGCTGCTGCTGTCGCCTCCATTCACATTGCCAATGGCAGCGGTAATGGCAGCGGTAATGGCCGCCTTGAGGGCCGTCTGTGTGCTTTCTTGCATACCCCCAGACATGGCTTGCTGCTAAATGGAATACAATTTTGGTGAAATTTAGAAATACTTTTTAGAAATTTGTTGTGCAAAGTGTATGTGGAGAGTAGTTTATATTTCTGACATGGCAGAGAAGCGACTGGCAGTATGCCCCCAAGCCCACGTGACACTTTATGTATGGCTACTGTGATGAGGAGTTTCTCGACCCCTGTTGACTCCCGCCCAAACCACTACGAGTTAGTGTGTGGTGTGGCTGTGGGTACGTGCATCCGCGCACGTCGTGATTGGTTGGCGCGCATTACGAGTGCCACAACGAGTGAGAGTAAGTGCTGAATGTCCACGTCCGCGTCTAATGCGACCCCTGAGTGACGGATGTCCTGTTGCAGCAGCAGCGGGATCTCCGACAGGATGCCGGATAGCCTTTAATTTAAGAAAAATACTGCAACAGGACTGCTGCCTCGTCTGATCCCTAAACTGGAGCAAGTCTCGGCAAAGTGGAACGGCGGATGCCTCGAGCGTGCACTCCCATGCGACACATGTCTCCCAGAGGTTCTGTCTGCAATGCCACAGCTGTCCGCCCCCAGCCCTGAGGCGCTGAGGCGCTGAGGCCACAGCTGAGAGCCTCAACTAGCACAAAAAACAAAACGTAAGCCTGCGATGCGTGGCGGCTGGGGCCTGACCCAGTTAATGGATTGTGGGATCTCAGTCACGGCCGGCCTGCAGTTGTGTGTGTGCCACTGTCTGCTGGCATGTGCATGCGGGCTTATGTGTATTGCTTCCGTTTCCGGGCAATGTGGAACAAAGGCCTGCTGCACTGGCACGGCAGCGGAAAATATTATCCGAGCGAGCGAGCGAGCGCTTAGGCAAGGATCGGGAATGAGCCTGAGACAGAACCAAGGACACCTGCCCCTTGTGCACAGCGGAAGTTCAGAGCCCACACATTGAAGGTTACTGTTTTCCCTGCCCCTGCCCCTGCCCCTGCCGCCACTCAAGGACTATTTCAGGCTTGGCTTTAAGGGCCCACCTTAATGGGGGGGGTTCCCTTCTGTTTCATCTGCAATAAACAATTAGTGTCGCACATGGCCTGTGGCAGGAATCCGCTGAGGCGCCACCAACCCAGTGGATAATTGGGCTGCGGCTTTTGACGCTGGGTGCTGTCATAATTAACACCCGTCACCCCGTATCCGGCCATGTCGCACACCGAATTAAAAGTCGTTCCATATCTACAGAACTTCCCATTCAAACTTCACAACTTTTCTTGATTCATTTCAAAACCAGCGAATAGCTTGGTATCTAGTTTTGCAACCATTTGTATCCGCTGGGAAGTTAAGCAGACTATTTCCCAGCGGATTGAAATAGCGAATATCGTCTTACCAATGAGCTAAAAACTATGCCATAAATCAATAAAGTCCTTACGATGAACTGCTAATGCTTGCCATAATATCCCTATTGTTTTGTGTATAAATCCCTGATATAAGTCGCTTATGGTACGAAAAGTGGGTAAAAGTCCTAACTAACATTAGCCAATTACTAAACCTTTGGGAGGATCCAAGCGCCATCTACATATGTGTAATTTGTGTGTGCCAGGTGGCGTTTTGACAGCCTTAATATATCCCACGACAAGGATGTTGTGTGATTTTTGTAGCTGTGATTACAAGTAGAAATAAAAATGATTTTCTAAAAGGGGGAAATATTTGCTGGGGAAGCTAGAATTTCCCTCTAGTGACCCCTTAAAAGTGTCCCAAATTCAGGGGAAATTCATGGGACATTATTGCACTCCGCAAGCGAGTGAAGCTCAAAGAAAAAGCTCACGCTCATTCCTCACATCACTCATCGTGGCAGTAACGCACTCGAGCAACTGCGTTTGAGTGTTCAGAGTATTAAAGTGGTTTCAATAAACAGAAGGAACATTTTCGATGATGGTTAATGATTTATTCTGCTCCGAACTGATCGTCTCATGGCACACCTGTCGCTCTCAGGTATCATATCAACGATGGATCCACAAAGGCTTTGCAGGTGCAAATGGATAATGGGGTAGGTTGGTGGGTAATGAATCTGTGTCTGCACTGCATGTAGTCTGCTGGCAGTGGGAGGGGCAATCAAAACGCAGCTGGAGGCATGCTAAAAACAACTCAAGGACTTGGCAGCACTCAGGACTTGGACATGGATGGATGGCACTTGGCTCTGGGCTCTCGGCTCTCGGCTCTCGGCACCGAGAGAGGCACCGAGAGACGCCGGCGAGGGGGCTGCGATCAAAGGCGAAGAGTGTGAGGAGATTTCGGCG